TGCCTGTAATCCCAGCTACTCAGGAGGCTGAGGCAGGAGAATTGCCTGAACCCAGGAGGCAGAGGTTGCGGTGAGCCGAGATCGCGCCATTGCACTCCAGCCTGGGTAACAAGAGTGAAACTCTGTCTCAAAAAAAAAAAATTAAAAAAATAAAATTCTTTTTTTTTGAGATGGAGTCTTGCTGTTATATTTCTTAAGTCTGATAAAAAACATTTACAATCCATTCTCTCTGAAGAGAGAGAAACATCTGCACAACTTTTATTACAGCATATTGGTATAAATTTTTATTTTTGTTTTTAATCTCTTCCTGTGTTTAATTTATAAACTAAACTATCATGTATGGATGTATAAAAAAATAGCACATCGTGTGTAAGGTTTGGTGCTATGAAAGGTGTAAGGTACTCACTGAGGGTCTTGGAACATATCCCTTGCAGGTAATGGGGGACTACTCTACACTATGGAGTATGGTGATTCATGTCTTTTTGATAGTAGCCACGACAATGGGTGTGAGAAGATAGCTCGTGGTTTAGGTTTGCATTTTTTCTGATGATCATTGATCATCTATTTCAAGCATCTATTGGCCATTTGTAAGTCCTTTCACAGGAAAAATATCTTTGAAGGTCCTTTATCCATTTTCAATTAGATCTTTTTTTTTTTTTTTTTGCTATTGAGTTATTGATATTTTGATAGGGATTGTATTGAATCTGCAGATCACTTTTGGTTACACGGTCATTTTCACAATAGTGATCCTTCCCATTATGAACAAGGAGTACCTTTTCATTTTTTGGTGTCCTCTTCAATTGGTTTCCTATTTTATAGCTTTTTTTGGGTTTCCAGCTCCTTTGTTATATTTATTCTGAAGTTCTTTTTTTCTGTAGCTATTTTATGAGATTGGTCTTTGATTTCTTTCTAATTTGTTGTTGATGTTCAGGAATGGTAGTGATTTTACTATGTTGATTTTGTATCTTTCATCTTTAATGAATTCACTGGTCAGCTCTAAGAGATTTTTGGTGGTGCTTTTCAGGCTTTCTGTACATAAGATTATGCCATCTGCAAGAGAGACAATTTGACATCCTCCTTTCCAGTCTGGATGCCCTTTCTTTCTCTTGCCTAATTACTCTGCTAGGACTTCCAGTACTCTGAATAAAAGTGGTGAAAATGGACATTCTTGCCATGTTCCAGATCTGAGAAGAGCTTTGTGCTTTTCTTTATCCACTATGATGTTGGCTGTGGGCTTGCCGTACATTGATTTACTGTGTTGGGCTATATTACTTCTATACCCAGTTTGTTCAGAGTTTTTACTGTGAAGGGCTGAATTTTATCGTGCTTTTTTTTTTTACACCTATTGAGATGATCATATGGTTCTTGTACTCACTCTATTGATGTGATGTGTCCCATTTATTGACTTGTGTATCTGGAACCATCCTTGCATGCTGGGTTAAATCCCATTTGGTCATGGGAATGATCACTTTGATGTGGTGCTGAATTTGGTTGACTAGTATTTTGTGGAGGATGCTCACATCTATGTTTATCAGGGATATGGGCCTACAGTTTTCTTTTTGTTGCTGTGTATTTCTCTGGTTTTGGTATCAGGGTTCACTGTTTGGAGGAGAACAGATTGGCATTGGAACCACCCTGGCAGAGGACAGAGACAAGAAGAAAACTGAGAAATGGGGCCCAGTGGAGTAGAAAGCTGAGGTCCACAGAGGGAGGGAAGGGAATCATTCCCGAGGTCAGCAGGCTGGGTCCTGCCTGTTGTGTGTTCTGGCACTGAGTGTGGACTCTATGGTGGGAGATAGGGGGAAGTATCTGGGGTTTGTGATGATGTGATAAGACATGCACTGAGAGGTCACCTCTGCAATCAGGGAAAGAACTTCGGGGTTAAAGGGAAGCCATCACTTCAACATCCCATCTGTCCCATATAGAAGTGACCCTGGGAGGTGGCTGTGGAGGGTCTGAGAGGCTGACTTCAAGCAGGAGAGGTGAGATGGGGCTGGGCTGGAGGGAGGTGTGGGGAGCACTGGTCAGAGCAGTTTTGCCAGGGACCCTTAGATAGAGCTTTGGGAGGAATGTGACCGCTGTTTTCCCCAAAACAACCCTCACCCCATCAGCAGGAAGTAGCTAAGATCGATTGTCATCCATATATATATTTTTTGATACGGAGTCTCACTGTGTCGCCCAGGCTGGAGTGCAGTGGCATGATTTTGGCTCACTGCAACCTCTGCCTCCTGGGTCCAAGTGATTCCCCTGCCTCAGCCTCTCCAGTAGCTGTGACTACAGGTGCCAGCCACCACGCCCAGCTAATTTTTTGTATTTTAGAGTTGGGGTTTCACCACGTTAGCCAGGAGAGTCTCAATCTCCTGACCTGGTGATCTACCTGCCTCGGCCTCCCAAAGTGCTGAGATTACAGGCATGAGCCACCACGCCCAGCTAATTTTTTGTATTTTAGAGTTGGGGTTTCACCACGTTAGCCAGGAGAGTCTCAATCTCCTGACCTGGTGATCTACCTGCCTCGGCCTCCCAAAGTGCTGAGATTACAGGCATGAGCCACCACGCTTGGCCTGGAAATGGGGGCATTTAAGAACTCTCCCCTAAAAATGTGAAACAGTAAACAAATAAGAGTGACAAGTGATTAGATGTGAATCTGAGACCAGAGGCATGAAGCAGCCATGAGAAGATGATGATGATGGAATCAACAGCTAATACTTACTGAATGCTGTTGAGGCCGGGCATTGTAAACACTCTGCATCAATTAACTCACTTAATTTTCATAATAATGTTGAGAAATACGTTTGTTATTAACATTTTACAGATGAAGACACTGAGGCATGACACAGTGAAATAGTTTGTCCCAGGTCACACAAAGCCAGTATACATGAAGCCTGGATTAAAACCCAGGTAACGTGACTCCAAAGCTTAATGCTCTTCACACACACACACACCTTGGAGCTCTTAAAGGGTATGGAATGTTTCTTTTCTATTAGGTCCACAGTGGATGCTCAAGAAATGGCTAATAGGTATGACTGAGGAAATATGTCATCTGTGACATCATAACATCATTATTACATTCTGGACAGTGTTAATGTCACCTAAGAACATGTGAAAAATACAAATTCAAATCAACTCATACAGAAACTCTAGGATTGAGGCTTAGCAATCTATGCTTTAACAGGCCCTCCCAGTGATTTTGACACACCACTAGAGCTCAGAACTACTGGATTCCTATATCCCATCCCTGTGTAATATACATGAGTGATGCTCAGTAGATTTTCTTGAAACGTAGCTCACTGAAAGTGCCCTCAGAATAATCCTCACCAAAATACTGCTATTCTTAGTACAAAGAGCAGGCCATTTTCCCCTAGGTTTGCTAGTCTCCCACTAAAGACTTTACTAAGGCTAATCTTAGTGAAATTTTTGCCAGAAATAGTCACCAAGAGTTCATGATATACAAAATGATTTTACTAAATACCAAAAATTTTTTTTTTTTTGAGACGGAGTTTCGCTCTCATTACCCAGGCTGGAGTGCAATGGCGCGATCTCGGCTCACCGCAGCCTCCACCTCCTGGGTTCAGGCAATTCTTATGCCTCAGCCTCCTGAGTAGCTGGGATTACAGGCACGCACCACCATGCCCAGCTAATTTTTCTATTTTTAGTAGAGACGGGGTTTCACCATGTTGACCAGGATAGTCTCGATCTCTTGACCTCGTGATCCACCCGCCTCGGCCTCCCAAAGTGCTGGGATTACAGGCGTGAGCCATCGCGCCCGGCCTATACCAAAACTTTTATTCACATCATTTTGTTTCTTTTGCAGCTTTTTTTTTGAGACAGTCTCGCTCTGTTGCCAGGTTCCAGGGTGGAGTGCAGTGGCATGAGCATGGCTCACTGCAACCTCTGCCTCCCGGGTTCAAGCAATGTTCCTGCCTCAGCCTCCCAAGTAGCTGGGACTACAGGCAGAGGCTACCATGCCCAGCTAATTTTTGTATTTTTTAGTAGAGACGGGGTTTCACCATGTTGGCCAGGGTGGTCTCAATCTCTCGATCTCATGATCCGCCCGCCTCGGCCTCCCAAAGTGCTGGGATTACAGGTGTGAGCCACCGCGCCCGGTGCAGCTTTAATGTTTAACATTATAACATAGGCTGGGCGCGGTGGCTCAAGCCTGTAATCCCAGCACTTTGGGAGGCCTAGGCGGGTGGATCACGAGGTCAAGAGATTGAGACCATCCTGGTCAACATGGTGAAACCCCGTCTCTACTAAAAATACAAAAAATTAGCTGGGCATGGTGGCGCGTGCCTGTAATCCCAGCTACTCGGGAGGCTGAGGCAGGAGAATTGCCTGAACCCAGGAGGCGGAGGTTGCGGTGAGCCGAGATCGCGCCATTGCACTCCAGCCTGGGTAACAAGAGCGAAATTCCGTCTCCAAAAAAAAAAAAAACCAAAAAAAACACATTATAACATTTACTGGCTCCTCCGGTGACTAAATATCTTCAGATGGCCACTAGCTAAAAAGAATTTCTAAGTAGAACACGACAAAACTTGCAAGCTACTGCTCTAAGAAATGCACACTTAATTATACTATCTTTATTTGTTCTACTGCAGAATCCCGTTTACAAATAGTGTCACTGCAAAGATTTACATGTAATTTCTAAAACCTTCAGGTTGTTCTATCGTTAATCTGATGTCTAGCAGGATAAACACTTAGTGAACACTTCGCTACAACTCTTAAATGAGATTTCTCTGCAGTGAGTTTTTGTAAAATAAGGGATGTACTTGAAACTGAAGACTGCCCTCAATTTCTAAATTTTCTACATTCACACAGCTTCTCTCCTGTAGGAGTTTATAGGAGATTCCTATTGCCTACAGTCTTTCCCATATTTGCTACATGTACGTGGTTTTTTTCCTAGTGTCAGTATACTTATGTTAATTAAGGGATTAATACTGACGAACACTCTCCCACATTTATGGTCTTCATATGATTTGCCTACAGTGTAAACTCTGAAAACAAAAGGGTCTGCATCATTGTCTTCCCATATTCACTATATTCGTAAGACTTTCTCCAGTATAAATGTTTCTGATGTTAAATGAGAATCTATGAATGAGGTTTATCATAAATACTGCTACATACAGCTTCTCTTCTGTAAGATTTCTCACATGTATACTGATTCATGTGGCCTAGAGGCTTTTACCACACTACTGGGTTTCTATTATGTGTTCTTTGATGGGCAGTAAGATTTGAGCCTTTGCTAAAAGCTTTCCCACACTCACTACATTTATATGGCTTTTCTCCAGTATGAATTCTCTGATGGACAGTAAGGTGTGAACTACAGCCAAACGCCTTCCCACACTTAATACATTCGTAAGGTTTCTCTCCAGTATGAATTCTGTGATGTCGAAGCAGGGATGACCTATGACTGAAGGCTTTCCCACATATACTGCATTCATGAGGTTTCAAACTAATGTGATTTCTCAAATGCATATTCAGTGAGTCAAGCTGGTTGAAGGATTTCCGGCACTTCTGACATTCAAAGGGTTTTTCCTCAGTATGAATACTCTGATGCTGAAGAAGATATGAGGGCCTACTAAAGACTTTCAGACATTTGTTGCATTCATATTTTTTCTTTATAGTGTGAATTCTTTGATGTTGAGTAAGGTGTGAGCTACAGCAGAAAGCTTTCCCACATTCACTGCATTCATAAGGCTTCTCTCCAGTATGGCTTTTCTGATGGTGACTGAATGAAGCCCTATGAATGAAAGCTTTTCCACATATACGACACTCATAGCGTTTTTCTTGGGTATGAATTCTTAGATGTTCAATGAGATTGGACACACGACTAAAAGACTTTCCACAGTTCGTACATTCATATGGTTTCTCTCCACTGTGAGTGCTCTGATGGTTCGTAAATGATGAGACATGGCTAAAGGCCTTCCCACATTCAATACATTTGTAAGGTTTCTCTCCGCTATGGATTATCTGATGTTGTCTAAGTGATGAGACATGGCTAAAGGCCTTCCCACATTCAATACATTTGTAGGGTTTCTCTCCACTATGGCTTATCTGATGTCGTGTAAGGGATGAGCCACGGTTAAAAGTCTTCCCACATTCACGACATTCATAGGGCTTCTCTCCTGTATGAATTCTCCAGTGGCGATTAAGGATTGACTGTTTGCCAAAGGCTTTCCCACATTCGCTGCATGTATAGATTTTCTCTCTATCACAAGTCTGGGAAAGGGGAACAGATCTGCTCTGGTTGAAGGCTGCTCCACTTTCATTAGAATTCAAAAGTTTCTTTCTACCACTGAGTCTCTCATTTTTTATAAATGACTTTTTGGGTAAATTCTTCTTTAATATATCATATTTGTGTGAATTCCCTGCAGCAGAAATTTTTTGTGGTTCAGAAAGAGTAGACTTTGAATAAAAGGTGCTTCTCAATGTGTTGTATGTGCAACTGTCCCCAGTGGGGCTTTCTCTAGAGGTGAGAGCTGGTCTGAAATGTTCCACCTGACTTCCATGCTTCCCTTCCCGCTTCTCTATATATTCCAAGTTCTTACTAGAATTTGAAAATGCATAACTTTGTTTTACAACTTTTTCTATTATTAACGTTTGAAGTGAATCTTCCTCATAAATGTCCTTCTTTGTTGAAAATTCCTTGTTTTCCAATCTTGATTCCCAATCTGAAATATATCAAGGAAGCAAAGCACTGCTTTTTTTTTTGTTTAACTTCTTGAAAACAAACTTCTGTGGTGGAATTAGGAGAAATGGCTATGAAGCCTCCATAAAATGCATAGTTCAGAAAACTCAAATATTTCAATGATTTCTCAACAATGCTCAAATGGAGCAGAGAGTACAAAGTTCACAGAATCAAGACGAGAAAGTGCTAACAGAAATAGGTAAAATGTACATAATGGATAAAATAGTATGTGAAAAAAAGAAAACTGTCAGAAATAGATGTGGTAGGCATTCTGGATGCCAAGCCATCATTTTGTGCCTATGTTCGTGTGTGAAAGACTGCATTTTGTCTCACAGGCGTCTTCTCCAGCCTTCCCTTCATCTCAATTTGCTGCCAGATTATCATACTTAAAATACGGAATTGATATTACTACATTAAACAATTACAGCAAAAACAAAGTAATCTAAATGCTCCTTATAGCTGACAAAGGTTTAGGCTTTCTGAAGTTATGAAGAAACTGAATCATACCATTTATTGGACGTTGGAAAATATCATGCCTGGGAACCTATTTTTATATGTTCCTTACTTCCTCTGATATGATTATATTTCATCTACAAAGCTCAGCTTTAGAAAAGTGATTTTCTTTTTTTTTTTTTTTTTT